TCCCTCTCACCATCGATACGTTTTAGACTTCAATTCCTTATATTTTAAGTAGTCAATCGTTAGTTGCGTAGGCTCTGTTTTGAAAACTGGATCAGATCGGTCGGTTCAACCGGTTCAACCAAAAATTATTGCCTAGTTCGATTTAATCTAAACCGGTTGAACCGCTACTAGTGAACCGGTCAGAATCGCTGAACCGTTCGAACCGGACCGGTTGAAAACTGAAAAAATCGGAAATTTTGTTTTTTTTTTTTTAAATTAAACCAAACATCGTTTGTTAAACGAGCCAAGTCGAACTCGAGTATTGTTGAGCTCGACTCGAACTTGAAAACTTTAAAAGTAAGCTCAACTCCACTCAAACTCACAAGTTAAAAATTACCAAGTTCAACTCGAACTCGAAATATAATATTGAAACTTGAACTCAAAAAGGCTTGAACTAAAAAAAATTAAAAGTTCAATTGAAGCCTAAAATTCGAGCTTGATTGAAGTGACAGAATAGTTCACTCAATGCTCACCAAAAGGCTCCATGATTTTGAATGCCAAATTACATCTATTATTTATAGAAGTTAGTTGTGGTGCTCTTCTATGTTTCTTAGCAATATGGGATTGTTTTGTTCTCATATTTTTACTCTTTAGACTTTTGAGATGTTCTTCTATGTTTCTTAGCCATGTGGGATTGTTTTAAAAAAAAATTAAACCAAACAATATCATTTTGTTATGATTTTTTTAGCCCCAAATTTATTTTTTAATTATAGTTATATAATTATGCTTATTATTTAAAATGTTTTACCTTAAATATTACGTTGTAGTTAATTTGAATCATTTTGTTTCACTTGCTTTTATGGTTTTTAATTTATATATGTTATGATTTGCTTTGAATATGACTTGTGATATAAAAAAAATATTTTTTATTAAATATTTTTGGTATTTTTATTTAATTTTTTAAATAATTATGACATCGTCCGGTTCTTCCGACCGGTCGGACCGATTCGACCGGTTGAACCAGTGAACCGATAACATGACCGGTTCACTAACCGGTCCGGTTCTGAAAACCATGTGCGCAAGGGCTGTGAGAATATTGACAAGATAGCTAGATTGATAGAGTCTATAAATGTTTTAGCTCTTCGGTTCTTATGTTTTAAGTAGTTAATCGTTAGTGGTATAAGGGCTAGGATGAGGATGAGGATGAGGATGAGGATGAGGATGAGGGGTTAAATTGATAGAGTTTATAAATGTGAATGATTAAACTTATTGGTTTATTTAAAATTAAGCTCAATATGATAGAATATGTTCACGTTGACGATTAAATGTGTTATTATACTAAGAAAAAGTATTCATGTCATCATTTTGTTACAACATTAACAATGAGTGATTGGAAATTAAATTTTTTAAAGTATTGATGACTAAGATAGAACTAAACCCTAATTTGGGTGATCACCCAAGTACTTTACCCTTAAATTTAAGAGAGGGCATTTAAAAAATAAAGAAATTGCATTGAAATTTCATATTTCTAATTGTAGCTTACTTTTTCAATTCTAATTTTCTTTGCTCTATTCAAAACTAACTAAGAAACTTGTCATTTACAACCTACACCAGAAATAAGTTGTCCCTAATTTCAAGCTACACGAAAATGAACGAACGTAAGCTGCCCAAATTTGACAACCGGCTTCAAGTTTTGAACTCTTCTACATATTAATTAATTAACTAATTAATATTTATTTTTAAAGAATAGTAGGAGCTGGACTGATTAATGTTATCGGAACTAGATTCAATCGATTAGTTAAAATAATTAAATTAAGAATGGATAGTCTAATTAAATTAACTGATAATATCAAATCGAATATAAAATAAATTATTGTGCATTTCTCTTAAAAATGACAAAAAATGATTGAATTATTTTTTAACAATTTATTTGGATTACAATGTAGTATTTGTTTAAAATTTTTCTTAGTCATTAAAAACAAATACACATCCTGCTACTTGAATTTAAAATTTTTAGAAATAACAACACTTCCTTTAACCACTAAATCGGCTTGATGGGTTTGAAATGATTGAGTTGATTAGAAACTCTTTAATCCAATACTTAGCATAAATATTGATTAGTTCTCTAGAACAAATTACTATGGCTCAACTTTCTTTTTGTATTCTTTACCGGATTAGATTTTGACTACATTCAAATACACCTCGAAGGTGGAGATCAAGAAGAGAGCCAAGCAGAAAATGACGACGAAGATGAAGAGGAAGCGGATAATCACGTGCTGTCGCGGTGCACAGTATCAAATACACCTCCGTCGGCTTCTACTAGTTCATCTAGTAGCGTAGATTCTTCTCGTACCGAACCAGAGGTCTGTAAAAGGTCGAGAGCACATGCTTCGAATCTTCGCTCCCAAGTTGTTTGACTTTTTTCTTGAAATTAATGATTTGGATTTCTCACCGTTGATGTTTGGTGGTCGATCTAGATTGCTTATCATCTAAACAGACGCATGGTCACAGCAGGCATTCGACAACTCGGTGCAGACTCGAACAGGAAGCCGATTCGATTGAGTCAGTCCCTGTCTGATTCGAGAGGCACGATACCAAGTGCGAGTACCAAGTTTCCATTGTAGCTGTAGTTTAGTTTCAGTCCGATTCGACAGGCGCGGTACTCGGTACTGGATATAGTTGTTGCACCGAGTATTGTCGTCATTCTCTTCTAGCAGTAGTAGATTTTGTTGTGGGTAATATTTCATGTGCCCCCACACGGTTTAAGCAATAAATCAAGAAAATTATAATTCAAATAATTTATCTGAATTTAATCAAATTGTATTTTCATTCAACCACTAATTATTTAATACAATAAACAAAAAGGAATTTTATCCTAATTCTTTCATGTCATATGGTCGGTCTTCATATTTGGATAAGTTTTAATTAAAATAAACCAATAACAATATGAAGTCTTCAAAAGGTAGCCGTCAGATGTTTTGTGGAGTAGAGGACGAACACGTGCGTTCGAGTGGGAGGGAGATAGATTTTTGTGGTGGTGCTTGCGTGCGTGTCACTCGATGCTCTTCACGCCAACTGTCCAGATATTTTTATATACATATAGCAGTCTTTGGGTTTCCGCAGCTGACCATAGCCTCGTAACCTTTGACAAGTGTTATACACGGATAGGATTTATTTATATTATATAAAAAAATAGTTTATATAATATGCATGAACGATTTATATTAAATATTGTATAGAAGAATTATATACAGAATTTACTTTTATGAATCCAAGCATATTAAGTTTTGTTTTCAATTTAATTATTTATAATATACGTAAAATCTTAATTTTGAATGAATTCTACGTAAAATAATATTACGGTAAGAGATTGTGGGTTGGTCGGAGTTCTCACAGGGATATATACTAAAATAATCTTATGGCTATATACTTGCACCATTGTTGCAAATTGAACATACTAAAATTGCAAATGCAACTCAACACGATTAGGGGGGTTTGGTTTAGGGTATCTCACATTACCGGAGGAATGAAATGTCATTTTCCCGTTTGGTTGGTAAACATTCACAACTCCCGATAGTAATTTATTCCCAACAGTAGTATTTTGGGTTCTATTATCGGGAATGTGATTATCACTTTCCTTAGGTATTGTTACATTCTTGGCGTTTTAGACTAAAATGCCCTTAATTTTTTTTCAAAAATATCATTCTTCTGTCGTTGAATAAAAAAATTCTACGAAGGTTAAATTACAAATTTATCCTTAAACTAATTTAGATTTACAAAAAAATCTATTATTAGAATTTTATATGAAGTTGAGGGGTTAAAATAAAATTTTACCCTTTCATTAAACCTATTTATCTTTGTAAAAAAAATTATATAATTTTTATGAATTTAAATTTTTTTAAAGAAAATATATAAATTAATTATAGTAAAATTATAGTAGAATTCAAATTGTTAAAACAAATATATAATAAGGACAATTTAGTAAAATATGCGTTCCAATAATCTTTTATTCCTTTAACATGTAATCTTTTATTCATTTAACATGTAATCTTACATTCCTATTAAACGAACCAAACACAAAATACAATATTATCAGTAATCTTATTTCTACCGATAATCTTATTCTTCCAATTAATTTTACATTCCGTGAATCAAATGTATTTTTTAAGATATGGGGTCCACGTTGGTCCGGGTTCTTATGAGGTTATATGCGAAATTAAAACGGGGAAAGGGGAAACTTATACGGCGGCGTGCGATTATGACGGAGGAAGTGGATGCCTCGTCAACACTACTTTGGGACTTGCGTGACGTTGCATTCGGTTTTTATTTTGTCGACTCCGCAAGATAGAAGTATAGTATTAATTTACGGTTGTAATAAAATATAAAAATTACATCGTAACAATTTTTCAATGCCATCACTATAAAACAAACGACATACACATTCGCAAAATAAAAATATAATTTTTAAAAAAAATAAATAACAGTGTAATATCTGTAACATCGGTAACCACAGATTTAGTAATGTAGAACCAACAAGAAGGATGGGTGAAAACGAGCTGACCGTTGGCACCATTAATTAGGGTTCTGGAAAGAGGGGTTACGGGATAAAGATGAACAACCCTCTCCTATAAATAAATATGGTTAATTTCCCTTTTGATCCTCAAAATTTTTAAAATATATAAAAAATAATAATGTTGCATATTAATGTACTATAGTGATATATATCAGTATATAATATTCATTATAAACTCATTCTATATATGATGAAGTTACAAATATTTCATTTCATATCTATCTAGGTAGAAACCAAACTATATAGTCAGAGTTGAGGCGTACTAAAGCCGAACTTTACAATGGCACAATGGTATCACACTTGAAGGTTTACATAGACTATTATTCGCTAATTGTTTTAGTTTTTTGTTTACTTAAGTACGAGAACAATCATAAAAGCTTTGATATTGAGCTTTCGGTTCAGACATAAGATGAACAATTACAAAAAACTACAAATTTAAAAACCCTAGCTAAACTTTGTGCTCCTCCTCCCCATCATGATACTCTAGTTCTTCTTCCGGTAATGGCTGCAGTTCAACGACGTCTTCCTCAACAATCTTCTTTTTCGTGACCCTCTCGGCTCGGCCGACTCCGTTCTCATGCTCGTCTGGGCAGCGGACAACTACAACCGGACAAATACAGTGGTTGACGCAATAGTAACTAACGCTTCCTAGCCTTCCATTGTTACTCCTCCTTGAGCCACCGAAGCCTCTGCTGCCCATGATCACTGCACTCAGTCTCAACCTCTCCACTTCCAAACACAATCTCTCTTTCATATCACGATCTTTAACTATGTGGATTTTAAAGGGAACGTTAGCATCTACTAATGGCTGCGCCAGCTTGTTCGCTCTCGCAGTGGCGAAAATGTCAAACTCCTCCTCGATTGTCCGCGCGTTTTCGTGCTTATTTTTTGAGTTGGGGGTGATTTGAAGTTGGATAGAGCCCCAGTCGGCTCCGTAAAGGACGGAGGTCGGCCTAACGTGGAGAAGTACGACGGCGTCACCGGGACGAAGGTAGTTCTGAACAGCCCATTGAACAGCGTAATAGCTTTCATCGCTTAAGTTGACGGCGACGGCGATGCGACGTTTCACACCTGCAGTTGGGGCTGGGGTCGATGGGAGAGAAGCTACGGGTGGAGCCGGAAGCACTGAGGGATTCATCACAAGACAGAGAGGAGTTAGGGATTGAGCTTTGGTGACGGATAACAATCAGTCAGCTACAAGAAAACTGCTCACGCTGTTTGCTAACGTATATATCTCCTTGCAGCATGGATTTTAAACTATCACAATTAGTGAGGGATAAAGATATATTTTTTTCAGGATGGATTTATTAATATAAAATTTGTGTACGAATATATATAAATAAAATTTTAAGATAAGTATAATTAATAAAATATATAATTATTTAAAAATATAGTTATTAAGATTAATATTAATCCATTTTCATTTTTTATTTTAAGGATGAGATATAAACTTCAAATTTTAAAATCTTAAAACATCAACTTTGTTGATTTGTTCCCTACTTCATAAAAATTAATTATTTGTAATAAATATTGATATTCAAATTGATTATAACAATGTAAATTTAATTTAATTATAATGACTACGAAAATAAAAAATAAAAATTCTGATTTTCGAACGTGACGGATATCAACTTTGAGACGCAAACGACAGATAGTCACCTACCATTTACAAAGTTAAGAATTCGACAAGTTAAAAGTCACATCGTTCTATATATAAATATCAATTTGTAGTTTTCAAATAATTAGAATTGACACTATTACAAGTAGAAAACTCGTATTAAATTTTTCTAGTTTAATATTTAGTCAATATAAAATAATGTGATTGTTAATTTAAATAAATAAAAATATATCATATGAATAAAAATAATAGAAGTGATCGGGTGGTTGCCTCTTTAAAATTTTAAACTTTCGTACATTTTAAATATTTTTGTTAATAAATTATTTTTACCCCTAAAATTTTAAAAATTTATCTCTCAAAATATAAAATTATGTGTTTGTCTCTAATTAAGACTCATAAAAAATATATATGAAGACTGAAGTGGTGGATCCATCCTTAGTTTTAGGGTGAGCACGTGCCCATCTTGAAATCTGAATTCTTTATGGTTAATTATTTATTTTATTGATTGTGCATACTCTAAAATTTTATTTATGTCTATCTCATACAAAAATTTTATGTTATTAATGCATGTGTGGCCACTTTAAAAATATTTTTGCATCTGTCACTATATATATGTTCCATAAACTTTAGTCATATTAAGGATCTAATAAATATATCTGGTGTGTATATATATATATATATTGACGGGGCGAAATTGATCAAATGTGGTGTTGTAAAAAAAGATTGGCTCGTATAGGATGATGGAGAAAATATTTTATGAGAATGGATGATTGCTATAGTGTCAGGAAATACACTAGGAATACAATGCGTCTTCTTCATATTTCATGTAATTGGAACTTCAAAGCTAACAAAGTAACAAAGCAAAAGACGTATTGCGGTCACTGACAGAAGACATATTGTGATTGCCATGTCTTCTTGAATACGTATTGTACTCTCGACATCTTCCTGATAACACTGTAACAGTTGCTTCATCTAAAAAAAATATTTCTTTCACTATCTTATACGAGCCAATTTTTTTTCAAACAACCATTTGACCCATTTTGCCTATATTTATGAAAATGTATTTTTTCAAAATGGATGGCTAAAATATGATGGGCTTAAACATTTGTTGTTTAGCATCATTTTTAGTGGTTTTTTATAAAACGCCGCAAAATACTCTTACGTTAGTGGCGTTTGTATACAAACGCCACGAAAGACTCAGACTTTCGTGGTGTTTGTAAACAAACGCCGTTATAGATTTGTACTTTAGTGGCGTTTTTGTTCAAACGTCGTACTAGTCATGTACTTTAGTGGCTTTTTTTAATAAATGCCGCAATAATCATGTAATTTAGTAGCATTTTTTTGTAATAAATGCTACAATAGTGATGTACATTAGTGGCGTTTTTATTATAAACGCCACAAGTGTGCAATCCTTTAACCCATCGGGTTCCAAATCCCTAATTGTTTCATTCACCCGTCTTAAATTTCTTAACCAACGGCAACCATCACAGCAAAGTCACCCCCGAGAAACCATCATCATAAGCGCAGTATCACGCCGCCGTCGTATGTTTCCGGTCAACAAAAGATATGTCTCTCTCCTCATTCGCACTTTGCCATTTGAATGATCCAAAACCATCAATTTTTGATCTTTTCGGCTTCCTACAATATTTACGGTTTTTGTTCTTTTGTGATGATTGAACGATAGATTTAATATGATCGAAATGGGAGGGTCATAATTCTTAACGGGAAACTAAAATTGCTAAAAATTTGACTGTGTTAGGTACATATTGTTCAAATGACTAAATGTGCTGCCATAATTTATGTGTGCTTGGAAATTGAAGCAAGGTACTGGCTTGCAATAGGTTGTTAGGTTTCACTTTGTTTCAACTTTGGTGGTTGCCCAGTTTTTGAGTTAAAACTTTCTTCTCTTGTCAAAATTTTCATTCAAAAGTTCGCTTGTAATGGTGGTGTTGATCGTATTTGATTAAAATATTTTTTTCCTCTTATTTGGAAGGATGGAAACCTGGGGTTTGGAAGGGAATGAGAATTGATGGTAAGTTTCTCCTTTCCCTAGGAGCTTATTCAACGTTTAACATTGGCTTCTTTAGTTAATTAGTTTTAAGATTATGTATGTGTTATATTATTTTGTGTTGCTTAATTAAGCGATCGAACATAACCAATCAATAATTAAGACAAAGAAAGAATTCTCCTTGTAATTCATTATGTTGAGTTCTACTTAGTTGCAAACCTTTGATGACTAGCTGCATCCTTGTTCCTAGTTTATTAAAAGCCTTTTATTTAACTTGTTTGGAAAAACCGAAAAAATTGGTCTTTGAGCGAAAAGGAGTGGTGGTCTGTTTCATTCACCCCTCTGTTAGGTATGGCTCATAAATATACCAGTAAAGAGGACAGGAGATGGAGCGGAGTGAGCGAAGCGAACATCAACTGTCCTTACAAAGAAAGTCTCGTTGTGGGGTTACGAATTATATGGGTTGGGGGGTGCGGGGGCGCAGCCCCCGCGGTACGGTACAGGGTTAATTTTGTAATTATGTACCAGGGTTTTCTATTATAAATAGAGATGTAACCTAGACCTAAAATATCATTGAATAAAAACTTCTAGCGCCGCCTAGGCACCGAGGACGTAAGCACATTGCCGAACCTCGTAAAATTCTCGTGTTCTTTTGTTTTCTTTACCCGTTTTCGTCAACACCCTCCAATATGAGCATAGTCATTGTTTAAACCTAGCTTCTTTAGTAAATTAATTTTAAGATTTTGTTAACTTGCTAAGCTAATGAAACAAGTTGTTAGATGAAAATAACCAATCGATAATAAAATTAAAAAAAATATCTTCCTTATAATCAATTAGGTAAAAAAATTTACTGAGTTGCAAACCTTTGATGCCTTGCTGTATCTTCGTTCATTGATTAAAAGCCTTTTATTTATATTGTTTGGAAAAATTGAGGAAAAGGTGTTTTGAATGAAAAAGAAGTGATAGTCAGTTTCATTCCATTTCCCCTTTAGCTATAGGCTTTGCGAGCTTATTCACTGCTTAAACATGGCTTCTTGAGTAAATTAGTTTTAAAATTTTGTTTGAATTTTATTATTGTGGCTTGCTAAATTAATTGATTCAATTGTTTGATTAATATAACCAATGAATTTAAAAAAAAAAATCACCTTCCTAATACGTTAGATCAAGAATTTTACTGTAATGCAAACTTTTGATGCCTATCACAGGAAAATTTAGAACGAAATTGTGTATCAAAACCCCATGTTTCCATCCTTCCAAATAAGAGAAAGAAAAATTTAGGGCAAATTGAGTTCAGCAACAAACATTATAATTCATTCTAATAACAACTTTGTAAGACAGAATATTTCCTGCAAAAGTGAACCTGAAAAAAAAAATTAGAATTCTTTCTTCGAGTACAATACTAACACACTCCGATATCTATATAGCCAATAGGTATATATATATATATATATATATATACACACTAAAATGAAGTAACACACATCATGCATCAATGATTGATTAGAAAAGTATATATCCACGGTTTCAATAATAGCATATGCATGGTAAAATGAACTTGAAAGTGAACATTGAGACCTTGGGTTTACTTCACCAAGTTCATCAAGTTGGCAAACAAACTTGTAGGATTATTTGAGGAAACTCATACCACTCCATCTATCAATTCAAAACTTATATTAGTTTATTCAAACATCGTGATGTAGTGTTCTACAGGATTTACTTAGGTTTAAGTGAATATGCCCCATTTGTTATTTGTATCTTGAATGTTATTGTAAATAGTGGTATAACTGAAGTTCCATGTTTATTTGGTTGACATACACCCTTTAATTGAAAATGACATTTTTTCTGGAATCCCAAGTTAATGGTCTTCTTTTACCAACTGAAAAATAGAATGTTGAAAACTTAAGTGCTGAAAATAAGATTTTATTGAGATCTTACATTGACAGATTGAGATGGAAAGACTATATAGTTAAAAATAATGAATATAAGATTAATGTAATTAATTGATGATAATAACTCAAATTGAATTGTAATGATTATATTTAGTTGCACACTCACTACAGCAAAACTGTTATGTAGCGGCGTTTTTAGCGGCGTTTATTGATAAAACGCCACAAAAGTATTACATATAGCAGCGTTTTCAATCCAAACGCCACAAATTGAGACTTTAGCGGCGTTTTTTGTGAAAACGCTGTAATAGAGTATAAATATAGCGGCGTTTTTGTTAAAAACGCCGCCATAGGATGGTATATAGTGGCATTTTTTCAACAAACGCCGTAATTAATAATAGTTTTTGCTTCGTTTTTAGACAAACGCCACAGAAAGGTTAAACAATAGCGGCGTTTATAGTAAAAACGCCGCAATATAGTAGACATGTAGCGGCGTTTATAGTAAAAACGCCGCAATATAATAGACATGTAGCGGCGTTTTAGCTAAAATGCCGCAATATATTTAACATTTAGCGGCGTTTATACAAAAAACGCCGCAATAGAGTGGTAAAATAGCGGCGTTTTTTGTATAAACGCCGTAAAAAACATGTGATATAATGGCATTTGTTAAAAACGCCGCAAAATGTTAAATATATTGTCCTCCCTTTTCTTTCACCCAAACCCTAAAATCATTTCAACTCTTCTTCCCTCATAGTTTCTTCTCTGGTACAACAACGACCCTCACACGATTCCAAGCGACGTCGTCTTTTGTCTATCCCGACGACCAAATCGGCCCTCTCACCGACGAACTATAACACAATTCCACGGTTTGATCCCTCTTATCACTAATGATCTTTTTCAATTTTGTTTTGGTTGGTATTCTGAAAATGGGGAAAACCCAGAAAGCTAACAGCTAACATATTTGAGAAAAAAAGAACATGTCTTTCCTTGAGTAAGAGAAATTATCGTCGGAATGTCTACGTGGCGTCTTTGCTCTGACGATGGATCAAATTATCGCTGGGAGGATATCGGTCCGGTTTCGCCGTCGAAACTCGATGATGACTCGACAGGAACTCATATTGCTCCATACCCTTCCATGGCCGATCTCCTACTTGAAGGTAAAATTCTATGAATCTTTATGCCGCTATATTTCCCTTTTTGTACGGTCACTCAAATTTCATAGATCGTACGCATGTAGGATCTTCGAAGCTTATTGAGAATGATGATAGAGAAATGGATAAATACCCTATGTTTAGAAACGAATTTGGTAACTCTGTGGCGTTGAAAGAATCTTCAATTGCAAAAGCAGTATCGATCCTCAATGAAGACGATGTTACCTCTACTGTTACTCCAAGTAAGCGTTTATATCATCTGTTTAAATATATTTTAATGTTTGATTCAATTCCTAAGCACCTCCAATCAAGTTTTATACTGTAGGTGGAGGGTCGTTATCTGTTTCAAGTGAAGCACTGAAGCGCGCAAGGAGTCTTCTTGGTGAACCGGAGGTAGGAGATTTATTTGGTGAAATGGATGAAGAGTTTCTCCATATAGAATTTACACGGAGGAAAAACTTAACGATGCATCGTCAAACAAGGAAAACAACTTTCCTACGTCCTTTCCCCACGAAGGAGCAATGAAGACTAAATTATACTGAACAATATGGTGAAGACAGTTTATGAATAAGTACTTTAATGTTTCTAAATTATAATGTATGTTGAAGACTGTTTATGCATAAGTACTTTAATGTTTCTAAATTATAATGTATGGTGAAGACTGTTTATGCATAAGTACTTTAATGTTTCTAAATTATAATGTATTTTGTTGTTAAGTAGTTTATGCATATGTACTTTTGTCTTAATTAAAATGTATGGTTGTAACTTTAGGTTATGTATAGAAGAAATTAAATATTTAAAATATGTTAATCTTATATAAATAAAGGTATTTAGCGGCGTTTGTATAAAAAAACGCCGCTATATATTACACATTTTGCGGCGTTTTTAGATATAAACGCCGCTAATGAGTAGTATAATAGCGGCGTTTTTTTACAAACGCCACAATAGGTGTATTATATAGTCGCGTTCTTATAACAAACGCCGTAAAATATTTGTATTTTATTGGCGTTTTTAAATAAAAACGTCGCAAAAATTGTTTATTAATGGCGTTTATAATAATCGCCGCAATAGGTGTACTATATAAAGGCATTTTTTACCAAACGCCGCAATATATTTGAATTATTACGGCATTTCTAGACACAAACACATATATATGGACATTAGCTGCGTTTATTAAAAAAATGCCCCAATAGAGTATAACTCTAGCTGCGTTTGTATTACAAACGCCGCAATTGTTACTTAAATCCTGCGCGAGCATTTCCCCATTCAAATATCATTCTAAACCTAATTTCATCGAAAAAAAATGCTCCCCGTTGCCATTCGAATCCGTCACCACCTACATCGTCGCTGGTGGTCTGTTCATCGACCCTTGTTTTCCCTCTTCCTTTCTCGACTTCGTTTCCCCTTTTAGAGATTTTTCTTCTTCCAGGAAAACGGCTCGCGTTTGTTTCTATTTCCTTACCTCTCCTCGATCTAACCACCAAAACACCGTGAATCCCATCTCATCTTCACTCTCCGTTTGATTCTATACACTTTTTGAATTTTGTGTTCGAAATGTATTTCCTATTTTTTGATTCAATTGTTTCCCCATGTACTCAAGTTTGTTATCTGATCCTGGATTTTATTGTTCTAGCTTGATCTGGGAAAGTTATACGATTAGTTCGGAATCTGCTTCGATTCTTTGTTTTGGGGCGTTGAGATGGCGGGGCAAAATCAGGATCAATTCGGATCTTACTTCAGGAAAGCAGATTTAGATGGGGATGGCAGAATTAGTTGAGCTGAGGCTGTTTCTTTCTTTCAAGGATCCAGTTTGTCCAAACAAGTCCTCGCTCAGGTCCCTTTACCTCTCTCTCTCTCTCTCTCTCTCACGTTTCATTTTCTATTAGAATCGAGATTTCTGGGAACTTACCGAATTTAGGTTAGATTGCATTTGATTGTAACATGGTGAAATTTCTCAATAAACGTAAACATTTTGTAGCTGTTTTTCTCTTGTACAATTATCAGTCTGTTTCTTCAGATTTCTCTTGACCAACTTGTCCATTGCTTATGTGGAATTTGTTCCTTTTACTAGTTACTACATCAATAATTTTTCAAATGGATAAGGTTTCGATTGTACTGAGATACATGTCTTGCTGGCTGAAGTTGCAATTGACAATAGAACATAATTCATTCGTTATAGGAACTTTTTCTAGTTGTTTTGTGACTATGTTTCTTATGGATGCTTTAAATGTTTAAACTTTCCTTTGCTAGCCGCTAAACCAGTGACCGTCAGTTTGTTCTAGATTTTATTAATGTACTGCCTGTTAAACAAAACTTGCATACAAGAAAGGAGAGGCTACAAGTCGGTGGTTTGTAGACCAGTACATTTATAGTTTGAAAGAATAGAAAAAAAAGTGAAGAATCATTTTTAATTCTGATGAAATAACAGATGCAATGCCTTCAGCCTTGCTGTACTTTCTGTCGCATTTGGTGGTTGATGATGGATTTTCACACAGTGAATGGCATAGTTTAGGGATTGGAAATTTTAATTTCTAGATTTTTGTGTTGGATTAGTACACATCTAGCTGTTATACATGCTCTATAGTGATTCATGTACCCTATACCCCTTTTTTGTATTAATTTATTAAAGCAAGGAGTTTAATATTATGGGTTCATTCATATTGTTTTATCCAATGATTTCAGATATGGACATATGCTGATCAAAGCCATAGTGGTTCCCTAAGTAAGCCGGAGTTTTTTAATGCTCTCAAGCTTGTGACTGTAGCACAAAGGCATGAATTAACACCAGACATTGTCAAGGCAGCATTATTCGGTCCTGCTGCAGTAAAAATTCCAGCGCCACAAATTAATTTTCCTTCTACATCCACTCCACAGATGGGTGCAGCTATGCCAACATCTTCTTCAAGTCCTGGGTTCAGACGACCAGGAGCTCCAAATGCTGGTATGGGCCAGCAGCAGTTACCTTCTCAACAAAACCTGTCAATGAGACCCCCGCAAATCATGCCTACTACACCTGCCCTGCGTCCTCAAGGTATTGTAGCTCCCGAGTTTTCTAGGGGAGGTAGTACAGTTGGTCAACCTCAAGCTATGCCTGCTGGTATGACTTCCCTTTTGCATCAATCTATGCCCACTGGTATGACTTCCCTTTCACATCAATCTATGCCCACTGCTGCAACTGGTCCTGGTTTCACAAATCAAAATATGCCAAGCAATTGGATTGCTGGAAAGACTGGTGTAGCTTCAACTGGGCCAGGAGGGTTCACTCTATTAACAGCTTATCTGGTGTATGATATGTTGAAATCAGCTTATCTGCGTTCCCCGGAGGGTAGGAAAATAATGAATTTTATTAACAATGAATTTTAATACCAGAAATACTATGTGTATGGTGCAGGTTGTCCCGTTGATGATTGTAGATTGTAAACAAGCAGTTAATTTGTTGCTCCAAAATCGGGACTTAATTACACCATCTGAAGTTGTTTCACAGCTTCTAAATACTAGAAAAAAGTGTGATACGACAGCCTTTTCTTAGGAACATACCCAATAGTGCACGCAAAGCTTGTTGATTTTCAAAAAGAACTTGTAAACTTGCAGGTCCTGAAATAATTAACCTTCTATTTTCCTTATGAAGTTAACTTCTTTGTATGGTACTAACACAGTTCTAGAGTTTATGCTTGTGAGTTGTTTGACTGATTTGTAATCTTTTGTATTCATCTAAGATGGTGTTATTTAATCAGTTTATTGAATGTAGGTTGTGGAGAATAATCCCAAATACTGGGAAGTTATGTCATCAACACTTGCTGTGGGTTGGCTAGATATCGTGGTATATGTCTGACAGACAATGTGGTTTTATAGCTTAATAAAATTATGAAAGCATGTTAGGTTCTTTTTTTTAGTGGAATTTTATGATTGGATGCAGTTTTATATTTTCACATGCAAGTTAAAATGTTGAGCTTGCATGGATCTTATCAATTAGATCAACTCAGCAATCGCGAGGTTGGTAAGAGATTAATTATTATGCATTGCATCCAAAAGATGTAGCTCTATTTACCTTTAGTTTCATTGAAACATTTTAATAGTTAAGAGGTTCGTGCAAGTCTTTGTTCAGTTATTTGACTAAAATGTGTTTTAACTTGGAAACGATTGTTGTTATTATGCTAGTTCTGTTTTTGGTTGTTTCAACTAAGTAGTTCCATATATTCTTTGCATTTCCATCCGTCAAGCTTTTCACCTATTCACTTTTCTGAAGGTGTTCTGGTTTCAGTGTGCTCACCAGTAGACTCATCAGGGTTTGAGAAGTATGTTACAAATAATGTTGGGTAATGCTAATAGTCTCTGCTCTGCAACATGCCATTGGATAGAATTGTATATTTCTCACTTGTTATACATCAGGCCATTCACAGTGGTATGTACTTTCCTTGTATTACATATCTCGTTTATTTATTTTCTTCTGTTAGGGGTTAGAAAGCATGTACAGTTTGGCACAGAAAAGCATTCAATTGAAACCAATGGCCTCTGCACATAAGTTGATGGGGCTTATAATTAAAATTCTTGGGGAAAATACTGAGGTGACAAATGAGGATAAAATATTAATTTACAATCTCCGTTAAATTCTCTTTTTGCTTCCTTATCTTTAAGTTAGATTGTGCTTTTGTCTGTTCTCAGGTTGTTTTAGCAGAATGCTTGAAAGGATTTGGTCCTTGGTAAGCTGTCATATTTCCATCTTTATATCTTTCTGTTTGTTAGGAATGCAGTTTTGGAGCCTTTTTCTGGGTACTATTGATTTAAAATATGTTTGGTCCGATAAGCTGTTAGAAGTTATCATGAAATTCAAGCTTGGATGTTTCTGGACAATTATTAAGATCTATCTCTATATTTTGCTTATCATCATGAAGGTTGCCCATGCCATAGAGTTGTTGACTGCTGGGACTGACCATGCAGAAATGTGTTGTTAACTTTTTTAACGTAAGATATAATGGATTTTCATATAAACTGATGATTTATTTGGATATGAAACTAGAGATCGGGTTTGCATTGCCATGGATGGGGCCTTTTCAAGTGGCATGCCAATTGGAGTAAGACCTCATGAAGCAAAATATCTGTGCAAGAAATGACAGGACGATACTAGCTCTGCATCATTGTTTTCCCATATAAACTGGATTTATCTCTTTGAATTTAAGCGCCTCATTGTGACGAAGAGTTTTGAAGAATGTGTAAGATTAGAAACAAAATATCTTAGATATTATTGTTTATTATAGTTAATAATGTTGAACTACATTATATTTTACGTTAATGTAAACTTTGATTTATTATTATGGATTTCATTTTTCTTGTTATGGATTTTAAGTTTGTTGTTATGGATGTCAAGTTTATTGGAAAATGCTACAGGTTAAATTTGGGTAATAAAAGAGTAGAAAACAAAATTTGACAAATTAGTTTTAATTTGCAAAATCAATTTCTTTTAGTTATAGAGAGGTAATTAGCGGCGTTTGTATCTTAAAACGCCGCTATAGATATGACATTTTGCGACGTTTGCTCTAAAAAACGCCGCTATATACCAGATCTTTTACGGTGTTTGTGGGAAAAACGCCGCTAAATCTCAAGACCTATTGCGGCGTTTGTGGAAAAAATGCCGATAAATCTCAACACCTATTGCGGCGTTTGTGGGGAAAACGCCGCTAAATCTCAACACCTATTGCGGCGTTTGTTGGAAAAATGCCGCCAAATATCAATACCTATTACGGCGTTTCTTGGACAAACGCCGCTATATATCGTTACCTATTGCGGCGTTTTTTGTTACCAAACGCCGCGAACTTTAGCGACGCTATTTGCAGCGGCGCTTTTTGCGGCGTTTGTCATAGCGCCGCAGGTGTGTTTTGCGGCGCTTAAAAACCCCGCTATAGGTAAAAAAAACGCCGCAAATGTACAGTTTTGCTGTAGTGACTTTTCTATAATATTAGCAATTAACATTTGAAATTGATATTCCAAAAATACGAAATGGATAAGAGTTGGATGGATTTGTCAAGGGTAAGCGACGAATATCAAAATGGAGTCGAAACTTTTCTAAATATAGATTTTATGAATGCAAGCGAAGAGAATATGATTGTTTTCCCTTGTAAGAAGTGTGCTAACATTATTTAACACATTCGTGAAGTTGTCTACAAGCATCTAGTTTATTTTTAGCTTTGTTCGGGGCTATAGAAAATGGATATTTCATGGAGAGTTTACATCTCATAGATCTTCTTCCACGAGTTATTCAACTTATCCTTCTAATTCTCACCATCGATCTGTTAGAGAAGATGACATGGAAGGTATGTTGCATGATGCATTTAATATGCACAATCATCATCAATTTGTTAGAGAAAATGAATGTGACAATGATGTTAAGGATTTCACTGAGATACGAAGAAGTGGATGTGCTGAAGAGCCAAATGGATAAGCGACAAAGTTTTACAAGTTGCTTAATAAAATGAATGAACAACTTTATGAGCGATGAAAATATTCAAAGCTCTCTTTCTGCATTCGTCTTTTCCACTTAAAATGCGTAGGAGGGTGGACTGACAACTCTTTTACGCAGTTATTAGAGTTTATAGGAGAAATGTTTATGTCGAAACGATCTTCCTTGGTGAAAATAAATGTTGGGTTTATTTTTAAAATCTCGTTTTCGAAAAAGTTGGATTTTTCTTCTCAAATAAGATAAAACACAATTTAGGGAGTCGCAACCAATCTTTGTTTAAGGTGTGATTGGACACCTAAAACACTAGTTTATTTTAATAAAATTTATTTTAAAAATTATTAAAATAACACAAAAGATGTCTGCACACCAGAAAATGAGTTCGGGAGTCGGTTACGTGTGGAGAATGATTAGCACCCCCACAACGCCCAAAATTGGTACATTGTTCATTAATTATTTATCTTTTCAACAAAACTCATATTTTTGAATTTAATCTAATTTATGATCCCATAAGAAAAAATTATATAAATTTATAACAAAACCTAATGATATTAAATTATTTCCTATCGAGAAGAAGTGACCACTCATACCTTGAGACGATCAGTTAATTAAATGTTACAGCTTTATTATAATATTCAAATGCACAAAAATAGATTAAATTTAAAATTACCAATCCTTTTAGAAAGAATAAAAATATTCGATTATTTAAAGATATTGAGATCGGATCTTAGATAAGTTCTAACAATCTTTTCTCAAAGTTTTAAATAACTGAATATATTATTTTACTTTCATTCCCATATTTTAGGTGTAATTAAATTTTAAAGTTTCACTTAATCGGAACACATTATTATTTTAAAATTGTTGAAATTGACTTTCCTATTAGTTAAGACAACCATATCAAGTTAATTTTAAAACGAAATTGTATTACCATTAATCAACTTATTTTATATGTGTCGAGTTATGTTCGTGAAGCTACTCAAAATATACCAAAAATATTTTAATTACTGATATAGGAAAATAAAATAATATTATTCCCAAATTAATATTAAAATTAAGGATTAAATTGTAAAATAAGCAAAATTCATAGTTATAATTAAAAATAATGCATATTAGAGGTACTAGAATTGTAATTTAGCCATAATAACTACTAGGGATTAAAATATTAAATATTAAAATCTAAGGACCAAATCATAGATTTACCAAAAATGCGCATAAATAGAAGCAATGACTAAAATAAAAATAAAATAAAATCAGAGATCTAAATTAAAATACATATAAATTAATTTTAGCGACTAAATCGTAAAGTTACAAATTTTGAGGGACCGTGGAAATGATTTGCTCATTCTTTAATTACACAGATATCCTTCCCTAAAACGACGTCGTTTATAGAGGGGTATAAATGCCCCAAATCCGGCCTTAAATGGCCAAGGCTTCTTTTTTCCTCAAATTCCTTATCTTTTTAAAAGAGAGAGAAACTATGTATTATCTCTAACTCCCTCACCAGAGGGAAACTGACCACTAGGCCGACCGTCTTTCATCGGTGCCGATGGCCACCATCGACCATCGCTAGCCACCGTTCTGTGAACAGTACCGTGAACAGTAATGAACAATACTATGAACAATACCGAATTTTAAAAAATTTCCAGATTGCTTCAGGGGTATTGATACCCTTGCTACAAGTACCAATACCCTTCTATAGTAATGCTACAATAACTTCGACAAAATACGTATAAATTCATAAAAATCTAAGTTTTTATTCGTATAAAATTTCCATTTACATATACACATTTAAAACATTACAAAACTCAATCATATGATTTTACAAACCAACAAAAACATATCGAATTCAAATCTTTATTACATGCCAACCACTATCATTATTACAAAATACATACTATTTAATATTTTCTGATCTGATCTTTAGAAAAGAGGAACTGACCTGTCTTGCATAACTTTTATCAATCTTCCTCTTCTCGAAACCTACGTGTGAAACAATCACACGCTAAGTCATAGACTTAGTGAGACATATAAAACATAATTATATGTTAACTGTAACTTCTATAATGCATGAACATTTGATACTACCTTATCATACCAAAGTATATATTTTCTTCTCTGTAACATATAAATACATGAACATACCATGTAACATAAAATCATTAACATGCTTATCATTTCTCATTTTATCATCATTAATTTTCTTTTTATACCATATCAATCACAAATCGAATAACATTTTAAGAGTCATTTCTTACCACAATAACTCCATCACTGGCTCATCGCAAGCCAATGTTTGTTCAATAACCTAAGTACAAATTAAATTGCACTCACCTTAGCCTTGCTTGCTTTGACTTATCCTAAATTTTTTATTGTTTCAGAACTTGTTTAGGCTATGTATCTACATAAATATAATTTTCAAGACAATTATCAGAAGCCTAAACCTTATAACTTGATGTTAATAACTTAAGCTAGTCTAATGAACCAAAATTCTATTTTTCCTTTAGGGGGTATCGGTACCCTTATTGAAATCTATAAATTTTTGCCCAGAAATCACTGTTCAAATACAAAAATTCACTATTTTCAACTTCAATACTTCATGTTTCATTCCCTTTCATATTATTAACTCAAATACACTTACTTAAACCAATTTATATTCATTTATATCATATTAAACCTCAAAATCTTCTCCTCTTTATGAACTTCAAGAATCATACCCAATTTTCAACATGTTTCAAATCCAATTCTAACACTTAATACTTCTTAATTAAGCGATGACAAGTCAAATTTAACTTCAAATTCAACTTATCAACTCTATTTCAAGATTTCACTGAAGAACTCTAAATCTTTAATCTTCCCTAACTCCTTTATCTTTTGATTTTAAGATAACTTAAGCTTTCCTTAAGCTTAGTTATCATCTAATGATCAAAACCCAGATTAAATTTTAGCTAATAATCAACAACAAATAAATCTTACATTTGAGCTTGGAGATACAAGAGGAAGAAGAAAGCAAGAGGAAGAAGATAACTCTCTTTCCCCCACGTGAATCATTCATATAAAGGGGGGAAATATCTTTCTTGTCAAATAACCATTTTGCCCTTTAATTCCTTGAATAATTACTAACAACTTTCAAGAAATATTCCCAAATTAGTCATTGAACTATTCAACTATTCTACTTTAATCACCAAATTCTGAAATTTTACAATTTGGTCACTAACCTTGTATTGAGGATGTTACAACATCGTCGGTGGTTAGCTGAAATTCATAGATTTAGAAGTTAAAAGAATATGTTTGATGGTATTGAAGAGTTTCGAAAAGCTCCTAAGCAAATAATCGAGTCTGATATCTTCTCCATGTTGAAACATATCAAGTTTACTTATGGAAAGATTAATCAATCACCAAATAAACAATCAAAGAAAAAGGCAAAGTAGGTGTATGATTGTGATATTGACCAACAGAGTGATGATGATGAAGATGATTAACTAAATGAGGTAGATTTATGAAAAAAATGGAGTATTTTCTTCGAGTTGCCTTATTAGAAGGATCATATTTTGAGACATAATCTTGATGCAATGCATATTGAGAAGAATGTTTGTGAGAATATTATCG